CTACTCGCAATTCCACTCACCAAGTCATCAAACTCCATCCAAACTCTCTGACTGGAAATCCCACAACGTTCACGTTTCGTTAACCCTAGAAATATGTTTCCAAAAGAAAACCCTCGGTCCTCACTCACGAGAAAGATAAGAGAAGCAACGACAACAATCATTAAGGACAACGCAACATGGAAGCAAACGATTAGAACATGTTTATAAGAAAAAAGGAGACTTATTGATTCCAGCAATTCACGATTTTGTCCAAAGCTTTGACTCAAGTGAACTTGAATTCCTTTCCCTTTTTTTGTCAAATTCGTGAACTGTTTGTTGTTGATTAAAATTACTCACTGTTGTTTCTTCTAATTTGTGCGTTTCAGGGCTTTTGTTTGTGTATTGAATTAGAGGATTCGCGGTAGATGGTATTCGGTGTGGGAATGGATAACAATTGCTTATGGGTTCTATTATATCTTTTATTTGGTTTTGTTGGTATCTTTACTGGTTTTTGTTTGTATCTTTGCTGGTTTAGTTTGTATCTTTGCTGGTTTTTGTTTGTATCTTTCCTGGTTTTTGTTTGTATCTTTCCTGGTTTGGTTGGTATCGTTGCTAGTTTTTGTTTGTATCTTTGCTGGTTTTTGCTCTCTAACAATTAGCTTGCTGGTTTTTGCTCTCTAATAGTTAACTTGCTGGTTTTTGCTCTCTAACAGTTAGCTTGCTGGTTTTTGCTCTCTAACAGTTAGCTTGCTGGTTTGGTTGGTTTGTGTTATATTGTTTTTTTTTTGCTGGCTAACTGCTCTCTCCCTGTGCAATGAAACAATGGTCTTATTTATATTGGAATAAGGATGAAAAGTGGGGAAAAAGAATGACCAGTTTGAATTGTTATGAAACTGTTTTGATCCTTTCTTTATGTAGGTTGATGTTTTGCCATTTTAGTGCAACTCTTGGACTGTTTATGATACAGGGAAGCAACAGGTTTAGGGATTGCCTATTTTGATGTCATGTGTAGACTATATGATGCAGGTTTGGACATGGCTGACTTGGTACAATTTTGCAGGCTGTTTGGATTGATGTATGCTTAGGTGATATCCTTTCCTCTCTCATATTTCAATGATGTAAAGCACACTTACTTTTATTCAAAAAATCTGAAGGGTTTGTATGAATTAGGAAAGTGATGATACACTTGGTTTAATGAGCAAATTAATTTGTTGTTTTGCCTTGTTCCAATTTTGTTTTATTTGTGCTGCTCTGCTGCCATATTATTGCAGGCTTGTTTGGACTGTTGTATGCTTGCTACCCTTGCTGCGTTGCTGCTATATTTCCTTTGTTTTGTTTGCTTGCATTGCTGCCGCTTTGCAGCCTTAGACTTGCTGTTATACTTCTTTTGTTTTGCTTGCTTGCACTGCTGCTGCCTTGGTAGTTTGACTTGTTTGTTGCCTTTTGCCCTGCTGCATATACTTGTTTGTTGTGACGCTGCCTTGGGCTTTATGCTATTTTGCAATAGAAAATATTTGCAATTTTCTTTTCCCTTTTTGTGGACCAATGCCTAAACCTTGTGATTTGCAAAATAGGAGAAGATGGACTATGATTAAAACAAGCAACCTTTAAATCTGATTCCACATACAAACCCTAATGATGAATATTCAAACTTGTTTTAGCAATTAATTCTTGAATTTTCACATGCTTTCTAACTTCCTTTCTTGTTTCATGGGCACGAGGCGTGGATGCAAATGAAGCTTGGATTGATTACTTGAAGATGAAGCAACAGAGACTTGAAGACATAGAATAAATATTCTCTCTTTGTAGACAAAAAAACTTGTAATTCTTTGTAACAAAACAAAAAATTATATATCATTCCATTTGTAATGTAATAAATACAAAGTCCTTGAATAAATTTGGTGTAGTGAATTTTATTATTCAAAACTTGAATTTATTTAAACTTTTCAATTCTCAGTTGAATGTTTTGGATTAAAACATCTTGGTTTGGTAACTTGGGTTTCAAGAAATCACAAAATGATCAAATAACCAATGCGCCTTGTACTCCAATCAGACTTCTAAACAAAATAAATGTTTAAAAATCCAATTCTAACTTGGTTAACTCAATCCCAAAGCCATGGTCATCTAAACGACAGTCTTAATCCTCGCCTCTTGTCCATACTAAATTTTCATTCAAAATGAAACTCGCATGCCATGCTTAATAAAAATGGAACTTTATTGCTAAACAATCATGCTTTGAGAACCATCATCAACCTTTACAAATTTCAAGATCAATGATGATTAAGAACATTTTGAAATCAAACAATTGACTTGCGACGATTTGATAACTTTCAAAGTCTTCCAAACGCAATTTTCTTTCGATATTTGAAGATAAACTCGTGAGCGACATCACTTATGATCACGTGTAAAAATAATCATCTTAAGATATTGCAAATTTAGGAAATCACAAACTTTAGAAATCAGGCAACATTTGTTTAAGATTAGGTCAAAATCCAAGAAGTGACATTTAACACATTCGAATTTTGGGGATCTTTTTCGCGCAATCAGCTCTTGATTTGTGAAGAGAAATTGGAGATAACATCGAGGAGAGTCATACGCAAGAAGAACCGCTCAAATTGTATTAACTAATATATAAATATAAATATATTTAATATTTATTCATCTAATATAAATATATAAACTTTAAAGTACTGGTATATTACAATATAACTCTTTTGATTAAAATTAACATTAAAACTAATCACTAAGGACAAATTAGGCTTTTTGAACTACTCATATCACCATATTGTTTTGGCATTTAATGTGATGTGTCAACACAATATTTTTTATAACTAATTTTTTATTTATTTTAATGTATAATTATACTAGATGATGATTATTAGAATTCTTCTATAAGTGGGAATCACAAACAACGATAAATGTGATTGTTGGACAATGGAAAGTTACTGCATTTTCTCATATTACTAATCAATTTGTGGCTACAAATTCAAAGTTCATAATTTCCATATAACATACATTCATTCCAATCCTTCCACATTCATGCTTCCAATTTTCATTCTTCCATCTTCAATAAGTCTCTCTACGTCCATTCTTCGTTCTTTCATCTTCTTCCTCAAATCATTTTCAAATCTCATTCCATATTTATTTGATATTGTTCCTCTTTATCTATCATTCAAATTACCCATATTTACCCCCACCGTATTTCTACCACCCTGTTTCTGCCGCACCGCCACCATCCTTCTCTTTTGAAACCAAAGCAAAACGTAGCAATTGCACCACCACCCTCCTTCTCTTTCAAAACCTGTGAATCCGTCCATCGCGCGTCTCTCAGATTTGTTTGGGTCATGATGTTCACATAATGAAAGTAGTTTTTTAATTTCAATTTTAACGAATTTTTATTTCTTTGATGCGTGTATTTGTCCGTTCTATTCTCTGAACACAAACAACGTTGTTTCATTTTGAGTAGGAAATGGTCCTTAAGCAGATTTGATCTTAAATCCCCATTTCTTTGTATTTTTCTATTGTGTAGTAGTTATTATGGTGGATGTTTTTCTGGCAATGTTGGTGGCTATGCTCTATAACTTCAGACAAACTCCATGATAAAGGTAAAATTGTTTCTCCCAATGTCTCTCTCAATCTATCCATGTCTTTGTGATTGTGTTTTTTTATGCTGATTGTCATAAGTTTGGTGAAATTTGAGAATATTAGATGTTGTTTCTTTATTTTGTTGCTAACTATGTGTTTGAAGAAATGTCTAAAAGAAAATGAAAATAAACTTAAATGCTTATTATAATTATGGTTCATCTTATCATCTTAAGTTACAATCATGTGTTCCCTTTACTCCTGTTACTGGTCCAAGGATTTTGCTTCATGATACTTCTATTAAAGATCATGTTTTTTATTTTAATTATCTGCAATTAAGGATCTTATTGTCATGTCTCAACTTTCATCTTTTCATGTCACTTTCCCCTCTCAAAATGAGTGGCGCAAGTTCACTCAAAAAGTTTCTTTCCAGGAAATGCAATATCACTGGACCAACTGCAACTATAAAAAGTTAATCCCAAAAAAATTCTTAGTTCTTTAAATTATCACTTACTTCGTGTTATCATCACAGTTTTATTTATTTTGGTTTCTTCACGCTGCTAATATTGATGAATTTTTGATGGACTTAAAGCATAATAAAAGAAGAAAAAAAGATACGTTAAGAGTGCAAGAAGGTTAATAAAATTCATTCAAATTACCATTTATTAATATGTACGTATAAGTTTTTCAGTTGGCAATAGGGTGACTTATAATCGATGGCATAATCATAATGTAATGCCAACATGATTTTTTTCTGGTGCTATGAATATGGTAACTTGATAGTTTTAGACTCACGAATCAAATGATATTTTTAACTACAGTTTGCAACTCAGAACTTTGTTATGAAACGACTCTAGGGTTATGAAATTAAGGTTATTTCATTATGTGTACATATAATAATTAAAGATTATATGTGTAGTGTGTACTTTATGCATTTTGATATTTGACTATATAAGTTATACTTTTATATCTATAAGACATTAGTAAGCTTTTGTTTAATTGACTGAGGCCATGTTGTCTTCTGGTAGTCTTATTATATGATGGAAATTTTGTATGAAATTTTAGTTCTATGTTCATCTGTGCTGCATAAGAGAAGAAAATTAAATCTGATACATTATTATATATTTTACATTTAAAAGATAGAGTATATATTGTTCAGTTGTGTTTTCTCCAGTATGCATTCTCTTCTGCATAATTTTAAAACTGCTCAAGGAATTCCTCCTGGTGTTACAGTGATGGAGTTGATTTCAACAACAAATGATAGATGATAAAGAATATATGATGCTATCATATCCAAATCTTTTTCACTTTTTGAAATGGAAAAAGGAACGGGGATCCGAATTAATGGTGTAGAATTATTTGAACCTATCGGGAAACCAAACCCCATTGTTGTGTTTAAACTCTCTTCTATGCTTGCAAAGAGGAGAATATGAGGAAACATGAGGTATGATTTATAACTCTTAACCTTAAGTGGTAGTGTTCTTAATGAAAAAATCATATTGTAGTGTTGAGGTTGATGTTTATATTTTCTCAAACCTGCACCTGGTAGCATAAGGCAACATATAACTTATATGCATGCCTTTTTACCGGATTGGTATGTCATAAGGAACCATTAACTTTGGAAGATCTTGATAATTTCCTGCAGTTTTTATTACCTGGTGACTTCTTCTGCATGCTTCAGGAAAATTATGAAAATCCAAGTGTTAGCTGAACATGAGAAAAAAATTCAAACTGAGGTGAAAGAAATCTGGAAGGTGTTTTATTGTGAACTCTGCAACAAGCAATACAAATTAGTAATGGAATTTGAAGCACACTTGAGCTCTTATGATCATAATAACAGGAAGGTAGACAATTTATCTAACTATGAATTGGCTCTTTTGTCATTGACTTAGTTTTTCTTACCATGTCTAATGTTTAAATATTAATGTTAAATATGCAATGTTTCAAGTAAATGAAGGAAATGCATGAGTCTGGCTCTACACCAGTTTCAATTTCCTCTGAATCTAGGACTGTTATTGCTCTAATAGACCAGGAGCAGCGAAATACTTTGAAGTTCAGGTTTTCTTCTAAAGGATTTGCTTCCAAGGTATATATAACCGGTATCATGGATTTGAAAAGAATATGTATTTTTTCTTGAAGTACTATGGGGTTTGTAATTGGAATGCTTAAACATTTATAGACTTCATCATCTAGCTCATGATGATTTGTTCAAATTCAAGTCTTAACCGTTTCAACCCTGCCAACCCAGTACTCGCTTAGTGTAGTATGTAACACCTTATTCTATCCAACGAATTATATAAAATAAGAGTTTTCAAATTTCCAACAAACAAATGAAATGCTACAATTTTAACTTAAAATAACAACATTTAACATAAATAGATAACACTTAAATTCGGATGAACCAACAACAACATAAGTTAATCTTTTAAAACCAACAACTTTCATAACTACGCAGTGGAATCATAAAATTCGACTTAAAAGAATGTAACATCTTTATTCAACTAAAACAACTCCAAATAACAAGTGCTTAATGAAAATCAACTTAAAAATTCAACAACTGAAATAATAAAAACGATAAAGCAACAAACGTTCATCCCCCCGAGTGTTACGTATCAGAGCAATGACACCGACTCAAACTACTGAAGGTAAACTGCCTTCACTCTGGATTACCTGCACGTTACCAACATATGGATAACATTCAAACAGAATAGGTGACATATCAAACAATATAATAGAATCTATGATAAATAGTATATTAGAAACGGTTCATACAAAATCACCACTTTGCAGCTCTTTAACAATATTAACATCATCAATCCATCCACACAACAACTCAGAATGCAACATTAAATGCGACTTATTTTTATGCACATGCATGTGGTACCAATGGAGCAAAACTCCCAACTTAATAATCTGCCAATTAATAGAGGCATCAACAATGCATAATGTTGTACCCCAAAATTTGCCCTCCCATATCCTTCAAAGTTTTGACAAGCATCACCTCAAAGGGTTCAAAGTCTACTCAAGGGCTACACAGTCAACCATCCTCCTAAGCCAGTCAAATTAGGGTTTTGGCTCTTGCAAGGAAGTTGAGGTTTTCAAGGGCTCAATCAAGTCCCATATGCTCATACACATTGTCAAGCACCTACATGTCAAGTTTCAAGGCTCACAAGGTCAAGTTGCACAGTCAAAAGTCCCATTTGCTCAACAGTCAACTATAGGGGTAAAATGGTCATTTGGCAGTCAAAAGTCAAAATTTTTGGTCAACATCTTATTTTGAAGCCACAATCATCATTTGATCAAGTCTTGATCATGATTTCACAAGAATGGCTCAAAAATCATCAAGGTGTCAAAAGTTTCTATTTTTGGACAATTGAAAAGTCAACTGTAACTTGACCAAGGCATAACTTTTTCATGGTTCATCAGAAAAATCCCATCCAATGCTCATTTTTAAGGGGATGACATTTCCTTCAATTCATCTTCACATTCCAAGTCCAAGAAATGCTCTCACAAAAAGTTATCAATTTCAACATTATAGGTCATTTTCAAAAGTCAACAAAAAGGCACTTTAAGTCAAAGACCATAACTTGAGATTGGTAAATTCAAATGACACGGGACCAAAGGCATTGGTTAGAGGACTTCAAGACCTTTCCAAAATGTCCAAGAACATGTTCATATGATCAAAATTGAGCAAGATATGCATTGGAGAAGTTGGGAAATTTTTGTGAAATGGCAAAAGTCAACTATCCTTGAAACTTCAATTTTTGACAAAAGGGCCCACTTTTTCCACTTGATTCATCCTTGTCATGCCATCCACGTGTCCCATGATTTATTTCAAGATTAAAAATTAATTTTTCCATTTTTATTTAATTTTATTTGATTTAATTCATTTTAAATCTTTAAAATTCAAATAAAAATAAAAAAATTAATTAAGGGATATTTTGTGGCTTGAATGGCTTTGATGCATCATGAAACACATACCAAATTCATGTACAGCCTATTTCAAGCATAAAATTCAAATTTGGACAAAAAAAGGGAAGTTTCTTCAATGGTGTTTATGGAAATCTCAAAACATAATTGCAAGGGTTAAAGGTCCATTATAGTGACTGATTCTCATTGATAACAATATATGCAAGCCTCCCACACATCATTCACGACCTAGAACTCTACCAAACGACCAAAGCAAATCCAAAAAACTTAAAGAAAAATCACAAACTGAAAACCACTTTCCAGCATAATTCAAGCCTTCCTTTTGATCCCAATACGTTCCCAGCATTGCCAGGAATCATTTGCAGCCAAGAACAAGCCAAAAACCTCAAGAACTCGTGCCACATAAGTCATACGGTTTACCTTCTTTTTCAAAATCACAATCATCCATTCATGCGTTTTTAATACTTTTTATTGATTGCATTGTGCCCACAGGATCCATACGAAGCTTTCCATATAATTCAATTTGATTATGGTGCTTTAAAACGCGAAATACCATTGTTGAGTTCTAGGTTTTTCAAAGCTTGTGATTTGGGGATTTTGCCATATTGTAAAATCAGAACTCCAAACATACATGGCTGAAACCGGCGTGATGAGACGAATCTAAGACATATCTCGCGCCCAATTTATATTGCACGAGCGTCTAATCGCTATTTTTAAAATGTTTGCATTTTGTGGGGGTTTAAAACCCCCGCTATGTGTTTTATATTTTACAGGAAATGGAGAAGATGACTGCGTGTTGCCATATGATTGGTGAATTTGAATATAGCGCGCTTTTTCTTTTTGGTTCAGCATATAGTGTGTTTATTGGATATTATGCTTTTTTCTTATTATTCTAACAAACATGCACACTTGGTTCAGTGGCTGGAGGCGTGGCTAGGCATCACTGGGACCTGGGTTCGATTCCCAGGTCCCCCCATAATTCAAATGTCATTTTTTCTAATGTGTTCTTGTGCAGATTCCCAAACGTGGAGCACCATACACCTCACAGATCCAAGCGCCAAGTGGCCTCTCTCATAGATCTGAAGGCCAGGAGGTAGTCCTCACCATGCGCCCAGTCAACTAACAAGCACTGGATTCCAGAAAGTCAAACGAGCTGGATTCAAATGGGCCTCAAATCTCAATCAAAAACCCCCCCATTCTGGCCCATACCCCATTTGGGTTTGCTCTCCATTTTTATTATTTTGTCATTTTCTTTTTTTTTTAATTTTATTTCTTATTCCTTTTTATTAACTACTAACATAACTAATATTTTATAAAAAAATCCAAAAAAAAGAACTAACATTATTATTATTATTAATTTCATTTTATTTTTTGTAATTGAATACTAATAAATTGAATTAATTATTAATTAGGCAACTTTAACTTTTTTCTTAATAATTAAAATAAGTTTAGAATTAGGTTTTTAATTAACTTTTAACTTTATTTCCTTTTATTTTATTTCATTAAAAAATATAAAAACAAAAAATATTTTCTTTTAATAAATTAATTAATTAGTTTAACAATTTCTCATTTAATCACAAAAAAGACAAAAAAAATTCATTTCTTTTCTTAAAAGGGTCAAAACCCTTAAGGCATTCCCGATTAGTTTTTATTCGCGCGCATTTATTTCATTTTGATTATTATGTAATTGCTTTCAAGAATGTAATAGTAAATAGGTTTACCGCTTTATTTAATTTCTCGTACTTATTTATCAAAACGGGTCTTTGTATTTTTTGGCGATGTATAGACCCGCGCCTTGTAATAGCGTATAATTTATCTTTCTGCAATTTACTTTCCGCACCCCTAACTGTCAAATGCATGAAAGAATGTATGTAAATAAAATTAATCCGTAGCTCACAAATAACATGTACAAAGACAATTAACTAAAAAAACAACACACAAAGCACATGCCACTCTTAGGGTACGCTTCACTCGTTGCCTCGAAACGTGGTAATCAAGTATAGGACGTCTTAGAGGTCACCCTTTGTCTAAAGATCCAGTTGCCTCGAAACGGTTGCCTCGTATAAAAGGATCTAAGACGTTAGGGTTACTTCTAAGTTGTCCTACCATTGCTTCGGTGACCACACTGTCCCGATAATCGAATTGACCCGAACACCTCCAACGATGGTGCTACCTACCTCTCAATGGTGGGATAGCACTATCTAAAGGACTCTTACACAGCCTAATTCCTTAGGGTAGGTAGATTCTCATAAGTACTTGCTCTTTTCAAATAAACAAAAACAACTTTTCGCACCCGCACTTTCTAAAAGTTTTCAAACAAATTTTTCATACACTCTTGAGGACAGATACAAGAGTTACTTAGAAATTTTTCAAACGAAACTTTTTCAAAACCCACACACACTTGAAAAGCAAACAAATTTTTGAAAACATAAGAGCAAGTACCTAAGAGCCCGTGGATAACCACAGATAGAAAGGGTGCTAACACCTTCCCTTTCTATAAATCTACCTCCCGAACCGAGAAACATTCTCATAAGGAATTTTGCTGTGCTTTTGTCCTTTCCATGTTGGAGAACATAAAAGACGATGGCGACTCTTGCTTCCGCGATATTTCGTGAAACCAGCTTAAAAAACAGTCAGTTCTATTTCCACCGATCACAGAACTGGCGACTCTGCTGGGGAAACTTAAAAGTGAGGTGTACCTTAGGACTAAGATCACTTGTGTTTTCAATTGCCTGATTTGTTTGCTTTAATATTGTTGGGCCCGTCTTGGGAGTTTCATAGATCCTAACTCGGATCTGGGGGATACCTTCTTAGAAAGTAGCAACAACATGTGAGGGAACTGTGTGGGGTATACCGACACGGTTGAAGCAGTTTACTACATTGATGTGGCACTTTGGTGAGTACCGGTAACCCTTGAGTCAAGTCAAGGAGAGTACGGGGCCGCCGCGTGGTGTCGTGAAGCATCAACTGACCTTATGAACCTTAATTGAACCATCCTGGCCTCTTTAGGGGTAGTGAGATAACTGACTTTGGTGCAGTCCGAAGTTGGTTGATACTCGATACTACACTCATTGAGGGTTGTTTTCTTGGAATATTTTGATCGCCAGTTCAGTGGCTAAATCAAAACAGTGAACACAAAAAACAACCCAATGATATTGAGCTCCTTAGAACCCAGTTACCTTTGATAGGACAGGTTTTTGAGCCCACTAACTTCAAGGGGGTAGTACCCCAAACTTCATGTTGGCCTAAACTCTAAGGGCTGTGGTGTGACTTGTGTGCCCTATCATGTTTGCTTTTTGTGAATACTTGTGGTGTGTTTTATCATAACA